GGATGATGTCAAGTGCTCTATAATAATATGCACACTCAGTTCCATAGCGACGACCTAACATGTTGTCATTATCTTAAAATATATAAATAAATGGACCATAAAAATAACGCCTCTATCCTTTGTAATCCCATGTTTATCTGTACAATTTAGTGACGCACTACGTGACATTTAACTGGACAACATTCAACACTGATTTGTCTCTCAGAAAAACAGAGATGAGATTGTTTTTATGATTAAAATAAATGGTTCTTTAAAAAAACAAATTGAGAGAATTTTTTTTTGAAAAAGTGACCAAACTTCTGCATATTAATATAATGATAAGTCATAAAACCACATATAGCTTTAAAGTTCATTTGTAGGGGTTTTGTGATTTATCTCCTTCGTATATTTTAAACCAAAATAGATTTGCAATATTTATTAGAAACTTTACTATATTGTTTAATATTAACAGGAGAGAGATATTCTTTTAATATAAGTAAAAAAATAATCATTTCTATCGGGAATTTCTTTAAAGTAAAACTATATTGTCTACTGTTCTCCTTAAAATAAACTATTTCATTTAAGTGCATCAAGTAATTTCTTAAACGTTCGTAACAGATTTTCGATTACCAAATATTTTTGGCTCAAACCTCACCAAAGGGACATTATTTTTCAAAATGCACATCTGGTGCAATAAGATTTGTACCGTTAAAGATATTACAGATTATCAATAGATATGGAGTTATTTCATATCATTTTTTTTACAAAGCTTTCACGCACCGTCTTGATAGAGATGCATGTATGTCTTTTTCAGGAATCGGAATCTGAAGATGAGGGTCGTCGGAAAACAAAGAACTTGGTAAGTACATCTCACCATAAATATCTTTGAAATATCAAAACTTTAAATAAAACAATAGTTATTTAGTCAATTTAAATACAAATGATGTTCAGGCACTTTTTTCCCAACCTGGGTAGTACTAAATACTTTAAAACATTTCAACCATTCCTGGCCATCATTTATTCTATCGTCTGACGGATTGACTTTTAGAAGTGAAAGAACCATTCCTGGTATTCATTTCTTTCTATCGTCTGACGGAATGACTTTACCACTTATTTCTATCTAGCGTCTGACGGATTGACTATTCTAATCGGTTATCAGGCCATTAGTTTTCTCGTTTGATTTGTTTTCCATTTGTCATTTCAGTGCTTTTTATAGCTTACAAGGCTGTATGGGTCTTGCTCATTGTTGAAGGCCTTACGATGGTCTATAATTGTTAGCTTCTTGGTCATTTAATCCCTGGTGGAGAGTAGTCTCTTTTGCAATCATACCACATCTCTTTAATTTTTATTTAGTACAGGACTGACTACAAATGGACGACTGGACTTATAGATGAACCACATTACCAAACTCTGCATTCATGTATAGACCTGAGCATTGTATAGGTATGTTTTTTGGCTGCGTCAGTCCATGAGCTAATAATATTAACATAGTAGAATGACGTGTTGTTAAATGATATTTGTTAAATCATTTTTGCTGCCTGAATTAAAGATATGAAGGAATGAAACAATTCAAAAGAAAAATATGGCTCATTAATACAAAAGGTATAAACAAAATAGAAGATTGCATACAGCCACATACGTCAACCATAAAATAACAATTTCTTAAGACAGACACATAAATAGGATGTTAACCGCATAATAACAGTATCATGGGACAGAAAATAAAAATGGACGTCAACCACAGATTAACAGTCTCCTAGGTCAGGAACATACATTGTTTAGCCGAGTGTAAATTGTATGTGAGGGCTCCACTCTTACTTACCTGCAAGACCGTTGTAATTGCACAACATAATAACAACCTTTTACGATCAGTTGGATAGGACTTAATTAACTAATCATTAGCACAATCACTAAAAAATAAACCTTAACATTACAATATATAAGAGTACTTGGTATTTAAAACCTTCAACTTATAAATAAACCAAGTGTACAAAGACATAAATTGATTGGTTTTACCAAATTTATATTGAAAAAACTTCTTTTAATTTGTTGTCATATATGATGTAGAAATTCTCCCAACAAAATATAATCAAGACCAAATTGTTTTCAATAAACTCAATTATTGCTTAACTTTTGGTGTAATTTTATGTTGTAACTTTCGTGTTACACAAAAGCCATAACAAACGTTATACTAGTATATTGTGACCCTTGTTCGTACTTTTAAGCTTAAATTTAAGATAAGTTGGATTTACGATTCAGAGAGAAATTCAGTTAAGCAGAATATTCCTAATTTGGTAACGGACAGAAGTGTGTCCTTAGATGTGCTGTAATAAATAAATGCAACAATTAAAACGTTGCCCATTTGAATTTTTATCATTTGTAGAAAATTTTCATCAACAGAATTAAGTAGATATAGATAAAACCTTGACCTTTTTAAAATTATGTTCTCATAAACTATGTTGTTGACCCTTCTGAATGTCTCTGATTAAAAAAGATAAGTATTTATGTTGTTGTAACAGCCTTATGTTGTAATGTTCAAGCTTATATATTTTAAACAGGAAATTCAAGGCCATACAAGTGTGCTGTCGGAAAAAAGTATTGACATTGTTTAAACAGCTTTTTGTAATGTTAAACTTATTTATTTTTAACAGGAAATTCAAGGTCATAAAAGTGTTGGTGGGAGGATGTTACATTGTAAAACCTTCTATGGTTACAAAATTACAGATGTAAAAAGACAGTATGCTGAAGGTATTGGAAACTCTTATATATATTATAAATATATAGTGGGTTTGAATTGCAATTATATACTTGCTCATATTTCTCTGCGCTTTTAACCATTTAGTTTGACATCTTTCTTTCTCCGACTATTCTGAAACACAGTACATGCCATAAAGTGACATGGCAATGATACATCTCGGCATTTCATCTTTTTTATTGACCTTACATGATGAAAATGTTTTTCACTTTTACATGAGAATTTTTCAATTGAGTTGAGAAGACAATAGCTATACATGGTTATATTACACTACTAGCATATGAAAATAAACAGCAACAATATATTTAGATTGCGCATGCAAGTTCTTGTCCTTCCGTCAGCGGGATTTTCTGCGATACAAGAGATGATTTCAGCTTCCCAATTATGAACTTTCTAATTTTATGCAGCAACATTCTAGCAGCACCTGCATACGGAGTATATATCTCCCAGTTGATACGATATTCCAGAGTTGTATTTCCTATCATGATTTCCTTGATAGAGGGTTGCTGCTCACAAGGAAGCTTTTAAACCAAGACTGCTCAACAGATATGTTCCAATTAACGTAACTACAATCTCGACCCCTTTTCCCCGAATATGACATACCGAATTAGACGTATCACTTGTTTTGTACTGACATTAGCAACACGCCATCGCGTGGTCGGTTTATTTTCAACTTGTGAGTTTTAATGTTTTTTTGGTATCTTTTGCCTCTCTTTCAAATCGGTATTATATTAAAAAATAGAATATAATGTGCTTTGTTAATTGTCCCAGAGATTGGACAAAGTGATTTGATACATTACAAAAGTCTTTGACTTATTTGTACTGAAGGGTTCAAACAGTTTTATTTAAAAAGAGTAACTTAACAATGATATATGTTCTAGAGGAACATTTCCAATTGTAAATAAAGCATAATTGATTTGGCAAATGTATTGTAGTATATAAGCAAACCAAACTGCATTTTACGAAAATTCAAAATGGATTATAAAAAATCTGAAAGGATATTTATAATTCAAGATTAGGATGAAAGCCACTGAGGACAGTTTATATAATTACAATACTGAAGAAACATTTGCAATTTTTAATTATCATCAAAAGTTGAAGATTCCGTACAAACTTAGTAAATTACAACACTAGGAACAGTAGACTGCCTGTTATATTTTGACTTACATACTTCTTACATTTGTGGAAAGTCTATGACAAACGAGACGATTTCAATTTCGAAACTATAAATTTCTCCCACCTTAACAGCAATTTACAAACTTCAACGCATATGGAATATACATTTCCCAACTCATTCGGTATTCAAGAGCTTACAGCTCTACTCAGTTTATAAAACGTCACCAGTGGCTGAGCAGAAAATTAAGGAATTAGGTTTATGTCAAAGAATGTCGCGTCCTTTATCAAAAAAAAAATCCATCGGAAGATACCAAGACCTTGTTGATAATTATTCCTTTTCACCTTCACAAATAATACATGATGGTCTTGAAGTGTAGATTCTAGTTACTGACGTTGTTTATCATCTCAATTACGTGTAACATTGTTCTTTTTATGTGTCTTTGTATATTTTAAACCTTTACTGTTTAGTCCATTTTTTATAATATCCTTTTGGCGTGGCTCGGTATTTATACATCCCTACATTGTATTATTGTGGTATGGTCATATTTGTATTCTTGTCTTTCATTTTTGCTTATGTACTTTGTCTATAGAGTATCTATAGTCCATTTTGTTTTTCTTTGTTGACAGAGTTGCTTTTTTTATAGTGATTGCGATTAGACCACATTATTGACTGTTGAACCCCAATTTTTGACATGTTTACCTATTTTGTCTGGTTGTTTTGCTCACACATTTTGTTGTCACTACCATTGAGTTCTATGCGACTGTCATACAAGTAAGAGGTTTAGCTAGCAATATTACCAGGTTTAATCCAGCATTCTACACAAGGAAATGCCTGTACTAGTTCAGGAATATATCAGTTGTTTTCCATTCGTTTGATGTGTTTGAGCTTTTGATTTTGCCATTTGATAAGGGACTTTCCGTTTTGAAATTTTATTGGAGTTCGGTATTTTTGTTATTTTACTTTTTATGAACATTCAAGCTATTCATACTAGTTGTAATTTGTTTTTGTTATTTTTTATAATGAAATATTATAAAGTACATTGAAGTCATTTTCTTAACTGTTTGGATTCACTTTACCACCTACAAGGAGTCCTCAAGAATATTTACATAATATACACGTGTTTTAGTTGATTAATCTTTATATTTCTAGGCGATTGTGGTATGTGTATAGTTGAGTTCGGAGATGGATTCGCACAGAAAAAGGTAGAGGTTTTGTTGTTTCTTAATAATGTTCACCGAACACGAATGTTATAAATCCTGCATTTGATTAAAATAAAATTTTAAAGTCTGTTGGTAATCTTAAATGATAGTCCTGAGAATAAAAATGACAACTGGATGTACAGTATATCGGGTTTTTTCGCGTGTGATTAATTTTCGCTTTATTCGCAGTTACTAAAAAATGCGAAAATTTGACCCCGAGTAAATTTCACTGCAAATTGAAAGATTTATCGTTGTTCGAAAGTTTCATACATTATACTGTAAATTACCGAGTCTTTTGTGTTCTTCGACGGATCTCAAGAATGGGCATACTTAATTAAGATCTCTGTTTTCATAATAATTATATTGATTAATCATACATGCCACACCTTTTGACAACGCAGCAATCAGTGACATGTTAAATAAAATTGGGAATGGAAATGGGGAATGAGAATGGAAATTGAGAATGTTAATCTATTGATTTGTGTCATAATCTGAACATTTTGCATGTAATGTAAAAATAAAATGAAAATAATTCACATTTACATGGATTTTTGTATATCTGTAATGATCAAAACCTTCAAGTTTTAGCATGCTCCAATGTACATAATTTACGTTCCATAAAAGTTCTCCGAATTATGTGTATTTTTGTTTGTATTAGTCATATTTATTTGTATTCGATTTCTTGTCAGTTACACAAGTTTATGTTGTTTACATCTTTATCAATACGATATAGTTATTTTTTCGCGTGTATTTCTCATTCAGCAAAAATTATACACAGTGTAAATTTAACCTGCCCATTTTGTCATCAAATCATGAAAAAAAGGCCGACGCGGTATATGTAAGACAATATAAATAAAAGTGATATGACACAAAGTACAACCTTACAGAGAAGACAATGAGGCAAAGATGAGCACCATCCGTTCCGCGGGTCATGAATTTATAGTTTTAAAATGAAAATGTAACATAGAAAATGAAAGAAAAATTCACAAAATCATCGTTACGTAAAATATGTAATGAAAAACATGAAATAAAAATTGTATTGCTATAAAACCAAAAACTTAGTTCAATATATCATGTTCTTGTAGAGTCTTGTCTGGTTAAATTGATTGATTGATTGGTGATTGCTTTACGCCTCATCAGCACAAAACGGCTATATCGCGGCAAGAGCTATTTCAAATATTATGATATATATATATATCTATATATAATTGTTTTTAATCAGACATGAAGTCCTTCAATTTACTAAAACTTTAGTTTAAAGCGAAAATACTTATTTACAAATAAAAAATCATCAACTAGATAACATGATAAAAACTTAAAATCATTTTAAACTAATGCAACAAATTCATATAGCATAAACGTTTCGTTGAAATTCTTCACGCACGTTTTAGACCCATACGTTCTTAATGGTAAAACATTGTAGGTTAACAAAATACACATCCAGTAATGTCAAAGATACCAGTTCACGTCTACCTTATTTGACATAGTATAAGATCACCTGTATGAATGTGTGAGCTCTATTAACACACACAGAACTCATTGTTATATCACATTTTGAGAAGGGACTGACACTGATGAAGGCTATTTGTTGGTCCGAAATATCTGTTAATACGATTTCATTCCATCTTTTTTATATCTTTATCTTTTATCAATATTGTTGCACAAATCCTAAAACTTATATATATATAGGAATACGTGACTTGGCTGCTGGATCCCGTTTGTTGTCACGATAACAAATTATGTCTGTTTGGGTTGCTAATCCAATTTTGTTGATAAAGTGGAAGGTTTAGCTAGCTACTAAACCAGGTTAAACCCACTATTTTCATCCGAAAATGCTTGTTTCAAGGCAGGAATATGACTGTTGTTTTCCTTTCGTTCCGTTGTTTAATATAGTCGAGCGTTTGGTTTTGTTATATGGACATTAAGCTTGGAGTTTGGTATTTTTGATAAAATGTAATAATGACTTATTAATCATCAAAGATAGAAAAAATAGTTCTTAGAAAACAGTCTACAATGCAGATTAAGCATTGATCATTGACTGTCTAGTAACTAATGTTTTACTTTTTACTACTAGCGCTTTCCAAACAATGTATATCCGATACGATCATATTGCAATATATTCATCGTCATCATAATCTTCAGCATATGTTTTTAATAATCAATTTTCTCTTCCAATTTATTGCATCATAGAACTTTTATTTATAGATTGAGGTGATCTGTTGGGAATCGTTGCGGTTTGGAAATAAACGAAAGTTACATAAACCGTTGACGTGTCTCATATTTGCTAATCGAGAAGTAGATGACAGATTGAAACTAATGGAAGAAGTCATATCTTTTGCATGTAAGTGTATGCAAAGCTTTCTAAATTATTAGAACAAATTACAAATTGAAAAAAAACAATGTCATGTGAATCAAAGGCAATGATTTTAAAATGTTTTGTAGGGAGTCATCTATTAGTGTTTAAATGTCTCCAACCACACTAAGTGTACAGGTGCACAGGGAACTACATGTTCCTTAGTCATATTGGTTGACCTTTCCGGTTTTTTTTGGGGTTTTTTTTTTTGGAGGGGGGGGGGGAGGTAGGGGGGGATGTAGTCACCTCATCGAGAATGAAAATAACACTTTTATAAAAGAGTACTTCATTAACTAGTATATGTGATATCTTTGATACAAAAACACATAAAGATAACCTATTCAAATCAATACACGTGCATTTCGAGGAAACAAATTAAAAGAATTATTAAAGACAACAGATTTCTGTATTTTTTTACATTTTCTCTGATATTGCATCTAAAAATTTGCTTATTAAGTGAAAATTCAATGTAACCACCAAGTACTGTGTCTTGATATATTAAGTCAGATAAAAATATAATGGTATTTTACAGCTTTTTTGGAATAAAGATCTAAAAATTCATGAAAAACCCGGAGTTCTTGAAATTATTTTCGATTTCTCTAATATTAGATACAATATTATTTAATATGATGTCAACATTACCACCAAGTACACTGCCTTAAGATAAGAAGCTCATATCAAATATATAATGGTATTTTATTACACTGTTTGGCAGGGTTTCACCTGATTCAATTTTCAGTTTGTCCACCTATTTCGCCAAAATAATATATTTTTCGCCACTTTCATAAACATATTTCATCGTTTAAATTCTTTTCTTCTTTGTTACACAAAAAATCAGTTTACAGCATTGTTGTCTAATCTTTTATAATTCTAGCGGAGACATGTCATATAATCTCTGATTCTACATCTCTTTTGTTTAATCTGTCTACGTTGTAACAAATAAACACTCAACAATTACCCTTCCGGAGCACCTGAGATCACCCCCAGTTTTTAGTGGGGTTCGTGTTGCTTAGTCTTTGGTTTTCTATGTTGTGTCATCTGTACTATTATTTGTCTGTTTGTCTTTTTATTTTTGGCCATGGCGTTGTCAGTTTGTTTTCAATCTATGAGTTTGACTGTCCCTCTGGTATCTTTCGTCCCTCTTTTACAAACATTTACTTTTTTTAAAGATACTGTGAAATTGCAATATAAATCATAAAATCATCATTTTGGACTTCTGGGAACACTGGGTTCATTTTCAATAAGTCTATCGGATATTTTCCGTCTAGTTGAAGGATGAAGACTAAAGTCAGAGATTTTTCTTACTTATAAACATTTTTCTTCATAACAACAGATTTCTTTTCCGGACCATCGTTAAAAGAAAAAGTTGAGACGTAAAACTATGCTTCAAACACGTGCGTTGCAAAAAAGAATGTGAAGTACCTACTACAAAACAATTACTTCTATCAAAGTTCAAGGAAAAAGACTATAAGGTCAAAGATTTTCTAACTTTTGAACATTTTTCTTCATTTAAACAGTTTCCTGTTCTGGGCCATCGTTTAAAGAAAAAGTTGAGATGTAAAACTATGATTCAAATAAAACACGTGTATCCCTATAACGATTGCTAAGTACCCACTTCGAATTAATTATTTCTATCAAAGTTTTAAAACTATCCTTAAGGTGACATATGACGCCATTTAACCACACAATTTCATTAAATCCACAATCAACACCCTTTTTTTATTAAATAGTCCATTGTTGCCGATAGCTAAAAAGTGCAATCAGCTGATTATTGATTTTCTTTCACAATCGTAACGCGCGACAAGTTCAAGGTGAAATCCCAGTATCGTCTGATCAGGGAAAAAGTCCGAAAAACCTGAAAACAATTAACAATATAGACGTAGTCAAACGGTTATTATTTATTCGCAAAATCTTTCGCCAATAATGAATTTTAATCGCAACAGTTTTTATTTTTTCTCAAAGTGCGAAAATAGCAATCGCCAGCAGAAACCCATCTGTGGGATAGAATATTGAAAAATTCAAAGAAAAAAGAAACAAAATAAAAGATACCGGATTTCCTGGGAAAAAAATATTTTTAATTTCACTTATTTTGAATCTTATAATTTTATATTAAGCACCAAAACCTTGCCATCGATTATACAATTTTTTCTTTCGAAGGAATTCGCTTAAAGAAACGCTTGGATAATAGTCAACCGAGAGGCAAGATATTTCATCTTTGCTGCTTTAAGTTCGTCATCCTCGGCAATTCTGGTTGAAAGCGGAGGGGAAAATTTTTTGGAAAATGTGCATACTATTTGGATATAATCTCCAATATACTATCGCTTCACTAAAGTTTAAGACGGTTCCTAGCACCGATTTGATCAGAATTCATTGCAAGACACAACTACTGTGCATTGGAGAATATAAACCTGGAGAAACATAAACAAATGATCAATTATATATATATCTGGCCAAGAAACCAGACATTTCTGTGTCATTTGGTCTCATATGGAGAGTTGTCTCATTGACAAACATACCACATCTTCTTTTTTTTTGCATATAGTATATACATAAATTTCCAACAATTGCTCTTAGCCTGCAGATCCTATACAAACATTTATTTAACAACGAGGCACACGAGATATATTTTAGAAGTTTGGAAAAAATGACGTATGTACATGTATATTGCGAACTGTATATCAATTCCATCAACAAAATGGCCGATAGCGGGAATACTAACGAGCACATATATGAGAAAATCGTCAGAATGAATACTCCATAACTGTAAAAAGTTAAAATAGCAAAAATACCGACCTCAAAGAAAATTTCAAAACGGAGAGTCCTTTATCAAATGGCAAAATTAAAAGCTCAAACACATCAAACGAATGGAAAACAACTGTCATATTCCTGATTTGGTAAAGACATTTCCTTATGTAGAAAATGGTGGAATAAACCTGGTTTTATATTTACCTAAACCTCTCACTTGTATGACAGTCGCATAGATTTCTCTTATGTTGACAGCAATGTGTGAGGAAAACAAACAAACATAATAGGTAAAAATTTAAAAAAAACATAGGAGCATACACCTCAAGCACGGAGAAACATATTGAAAAGAGAGTATATGGGGTATCAATTCATGACAAAACTTGAGACGTCCCTTAGCAACGGTTTGAGAGGGGAATAAGAGTAGGAATATTTGTAGTGTTTTAGATATTACGTCGATGTGGTCGCTGCTTAGGTGCTGACATGATTCATAACACACTTTTATTTTTAAATTATCAATTGAAAAATTATTAACAAAGTAAGGTTCTTAACCCCCAGTCGAGGTTGACCTTAGATTTCTTTGTTTTGAATTGCATCGGTTCGTCAGCTAGTTGACCACGTGTTCCGGTAGTTAAAAATTTTTGGGGTATGTGCGATCCTGATTAACGCCAATTAGGAGATGCGCTTCGGTCGCCACAAATGTATAAATTGTTTTCTTTTCACGTTCTTTCAGGACAGACCAAATTGCCTTGTCATTTTGTAGGAACAAGAGTTTTACTGATCTGTGATTCTACCGATATTGCTTTCATCCACTACAAGACAGATAAAGTAATAATTATGGTACGTTGAGGTACTTATGTTCAATAAAAAAAATGTGCAATCGATGAATATGTATTTTGTATGATTATTATTTTAATTCATTATACATTGTTAATCATAAATGTATGTAACCACATAAAGGTTTGTAAATGTTGGGTCTCAATCTCGTTGAATGATACCAATGCTACATAATATATGTGTACATAATATATTTTCTTAGGAACTTGTAAAACAAGGATTTCGTAGATTCGAAAGAGTGGACATCAATGGATCATGGAAACCAGGAAACGAAATGAATTACTTTAATGAAATTGCAGAATGTATGTTATCTAACAAATAACTACCCTTTTTTCTAAATATGACTTAAATATGAACAGTTGTATTACATGTTTATTTATCAAAACATTAATGTTTTTTTCAGTAAAAGGGGCGTGGCTAAATCTAAATAAACATTTTTGGGGGTTTGGTAGGCGAAGTCGTATTGCGTACTAAATTATAAGCCTGATATCCTTAGTGAGTGATACATTAATTACTATTTAATAAGGAATGTTTAAAAGATAGATATTGCGTATACCTCCAAGATATAGTTATGATATATTGAATGTTTAGTGTAAATAAAATTACAACCGCAGTGACATCAAATAAATCAGTCAACGTATACGTGATACTTAAAAACTCAAGGAATAAAATTCAACCATTGTTAGAAAAAGTTAAATAACAAAAAATACCGAACTCCAAAGAAATTCAAAACGGAAAGTTCTTTATAAAATGGCAAAATCAAAAGCCCAAACACATCAAACGAATGGAACACAACTGTCATGTTCCTGACCTCTCACTTCTATGACATATAGGAGTTATCTTGAATTTTAGTGAGAGGTTAAATTTTGCTTTGTGTTAACAGCATGACTGGGACGTTTTTTTTTTTTTTATTTTTGTGTTTTTAAATAGTCACATACCACGTATGCACGATGCGGTTACTTTGATCTAAACTTGTATTATTACTATTCTCATTATAATTATATTTATGATAATCTTTTTATCTACTCTTTTGGTTTTTTTATTTTAAGTCTTTTTTTTCATTTCTTTCTTTGGCTGATAAAAGATTTCTTCGGATTGTACGTTGTACCTGTCATTATACCCATTGGAAACAATTGGAAGAGCCAAAAAATGCAGATACCTATTATTCGATTAAAGGTAAAATATTGTATTGCTAAGAACAACATATGAAAAATCACCTTAGTTTGCATTTTCGCAAAGGATACACATGCACTTTAGAAATTCAAATACCACAAATATATTTCGATGTGGTTAACTTTCACTGAATTGAACAAAGTATACAAAAGATATCAATTTAGATACGTGAATATACTTCAGAGATTTTTTCTCGAAACAATTTAATTTAAATTAAGGAAAGTAATTCTTTCAAAATTTTTAACAATTAATTTTTGATGTTTTTGTTAAAATGATTAGTCTTCAAATTAATGCAAATGAGAATATTTTACAAATTATCGATATAAGTAAAACAACCCTGCATACATGCAACTAGTCAGTGGTTAAATGGAGGAAAACTAAGATCTCACTGTCATACGGATCATTTCTTTCAATACACCACCATACTTGCAACACATTTTTCATTATGTGTTTATATATATAAATCTCAATTAAGGTGTTTTGAAACAAATTCGACACATTTCGGAATTTTTCCCATAACAAAGTTATGAAATCAAATCATGGAATGAAGTACGGCTTTTTCAAAGAGTGTAAAAAAAACCAAAATAAATCTATGGAAATCAGAAGAAAAAAACAAGTCATTGGGTTTTGTCTTCATTACATTTTAATTTAAACTCCTACGTTTACCATTTTATGTAAACCAGAGCGACATGTCCGATGTTAGTGTGTTATGGCCGGAAGAAGTTGATCAGAGTTTTTCAGAATACACAACAGATACTGAAAGTGAATGGCTTTTAAAGAAAACAAAACTAGTGAAGGATGATTTTCTGTCTGAAAATGTTAATTCGGAAAACTGGTGTGACTTTGATATTATCGTTTGTCAGATGCTTATTAGAGGTATATTTCCACTATAAGACAACAATTACCATTTTGGATTCTAATGACTCCAGTTCAAGGAATCAATTTGGGTTTACATACGTATTTTACATGAAATGAAAAAGAGGCGGTGGTATCCAGCAGACAGTCACAACAAATAATTAGAAGAGAAACAGACAACGCCATGGCAAAAAAATGGAAGGCCACGAACGTTGTAACATGTCCGTTGTCATTTGCGACAACTTGTTTCGTAACGGTCAGACATCTCTGTAAAGCGACAGTAAAATATTCACAGGAATAACTACCACTTAACACATGGAACCCTTTGTTCAATAGCTTCTCTGTTTGCAGCAACCCGTTTTCAAGAAAAGTATTGTCAATTTCTTGATACAATTCAAACTATGAACAAGTAAAAGTATTCAGTCAACCATACATATACATATCATTAATACCAAAATGTCATTGAAGATTTATGGAAGTTAAAAAAAAAAAATACTGCTCATAATAATTGTACATCTGTTGGCTTATTTTCTGTGTCAGATAAATACGAACTAAGAGATGGTTTCGTCCTGAAATTGATCCAAGCTTCTCATGGCCTGTTTGGAAGAAATGTTTATTTTTGTCTAAAATGTTTGTCAATGAATTGGTATATGTATTTACTGCATACCGTATCTTTCAAAGTCTTTTGGAATATACCTCATATATATCTTACACAATTTAAGTGGTCAATAACAATGTATATCTATGTAGAAATTGTGTTATCTGATATTTCTAGTGTATATGGACGAGGATTTAGCAGAGCAAAAATTTGTAAGTTGTATTTCTCAGAGAAAAAATATATATATCCTCTCAAATGGGGGAGGTATGATATAAACCATTATTTATCAATTGCAAAAACCAGTTACCTAGTCAAGAATAACACAGTTATCTTTATTATTTTGATTCATAAACCTGTTGCAGTTCATAAACTGACCTATAATGTTCATGTTATGCATAGTGTTTAGTCAAATGATATATGAGCTGTACCTCGAAATGCTATTTAAAAACATAGACATATTTGTAAACATTGTGTAAATTGTACTGACAAGATCCTAAAATGATGCTGTTTTGATTAAGATTTTGCTTTTTTTGCACCCAATGTGAGACGTTTGAGCGCTAATGCAGACATATTAGACAAAATTAAAACAAATACATCAGTACTAATGTCCGATCTATGTCTTTTGAACATATGAGGAATGCTTTTGGTAGAACTGTAATACAACTTTGATCAGAACAGCTCTATGCTGTTTGGGTATTGCTCATTGTTGATGACTGTACGGTGACCTATATTTTTCATTTCTACGTCATTTGGTGTCTGATGGAAGGTTGTCTCATTGACATATCTTCTTGTTTTCATACTTGGAAGACTAAACAATAGTAAAGACATTTTCATTCTTTAATATAATTTTAAACTTATCCAACGCAATAAGTTCAGTGCTGTTAGACAAATTGCTTGCAGTCAATTAAGATCTGTTCAGTCAATGTTCAGATTGTTTATTAGTTGTTCTTTACCTGTACATATCAACATCATTCTGACCGTCTGAAAAGCTGCTGAACAATACTAAATGGAATGCAAACAAATTGACAATTGAATCTAATGTCACAATTTTGCGGCCGGACTACTAAAATTATGACTCTATAGTTGGCCAGACATTTTGCAGTGATGAGTTGTAACGTGTGAGCATTTTGTGGATATGTCAAAAAGCTACTTCATGTTATCCGATACTTTGAATTAAGAGTGTAACATACTCTGCACGACAAAGGGTTCATTCTTGTAGATGTTTCATTTTCTATGTCAGCACTGGTTACTTTTTATTTTCATTTAGTTAGTTGGAAAGAAAACTAACAAAAAATGCGATTTCTAATTATTGTTTTTTTATATTATACTTATGTTTCAATAACATGGCATGAATTTTATGTTTCAGAAAGAAATACATGCATACAATCATACTGCATTGTTCATGTACCTTTTGAAGAAAGGGGAGTGGAATATTCCAAAAAAGTACATAAACTGGCCAATCGATCTGAAGAGTGCTCTAGAATACATATATGAGGAGGTGAAGGTTCTAATGTTGTTAACAGTGTACAAAAAGAATGAAATAATTATCAATCAGTTATATGCGTGAATAAAAAACATCTTCATCAACATCTACATCCGGTGTTCCTAATATGATTCACACAACAGCCTTTCAAATAAATCAGCTGTGGGTATAAAGAACTGAGACAAATATGCACCGAACACTGAACAAATAAATAAAAGAACTAATACATATAAACAACATGCATATATTAAATTGACTCATATATTTAACTTGATACTGTACTGCTTTACTTTATAATGAATTGGCCTTACCAATCTTTACATATTTAGTGTTTATTTTAA